ATTTTCTATTCAATAAACGAATTTAAAAATAGAAAAATAGGAAATTAATTCCAAAAATCGATTTTAAAATTTCTGAGTTATATTGACATGTCAAATACTTCCCAGAAAATATAAAATCTAATTTTCATAAATATTAAGTATTTATGGCACAAATAACAAGTATTCTACACATAAACTACTTAATAAGAATAATATAAAAATACCCCAAACAGTAATTCCGAAAATTACTGAACAAAATTATATTAGGTCCAGTATCTAAATATGGCCACCTAATTAAATTTTAATGGGATAAATTTTTGTCTCCAAAATTTATTGACTAATCTACAAAAACAATAACGGTAAAAACTACTAAACTAGTAACTTCGTAAACCTGGCTCCGATACCACTGTTGGGAAACGAGGCTTGGATAACGCAGCGGAAAACAAAAAATTTATAGTCCAAAACTCGATTCCACCCAAGAACAACTTACGTAAATTACTAGCTATAGTAAGAAATTTACCTTAACGGTGAAAACGGAGAACGGAGGAACGGTCGGGGATGGTTTTGAGGAGATGAACGTAGCGCCAAACGTATGAAGCCTCCAACGTATCCACACGAACTTGCTCCGGAGTCCTAGATTAAGCTTGTGCTAGCAAGTTTAATTTAGGATAGTAAAAACTATAATAATACTACTTTGAGAGTAATAAATATATAGTAAAAATATTTATCTTATAAATATTTCTTTATAATATTTTGTGTATATTTCTAACACATTAGAAAATAACTTTGAACACAAAATAAAATTTTCTTCTCTCTAAAATGGGATGGCCGAAAATTGTAATATGTTTTTCAAAATTAAGACCTCATTTTATAATAAAGTATATTTAGGAAATTGCTAGGAAATTAATGTTAAGCATAAGTCCATGTATATGTCTTAACACCATGTGTAAATGTTTAATATCTTAGCTACAAAACAAAATAGAATCCATACATCAAATAATAATCAAATATATTAATTTGACATTAAAAAATACTTTATGTATAAAATCAAAATGGTCTTGAATTTTCCTCTTGAAATTTCGTACATCACATATTTGAAATATATCATATTTTATTTTTGACATCAATAATTATCATATAATTAAAATGATGAAAAATAAAATAATATATATATATACACACATTCGGCGCTACATATATATATATATATAATAAAATTTGTTTTGAGAAATATAATTATCATATAATTAAAATGACACAAACAAAATGTAATTTTAAAATACATATGTATTTTCGAAATACATATATATATAAAATTATCACAACTATATATTTAATATTACTCCTACTAGTGTAGTATACTACTCCCTTACAACTCCTAAGTGTGTGACCCTTTACGTATCCATAACACTGGCAATGATATTAATAAAATTAATAACATAGATAATAAGCGGTATCTAGCAACACATTATTATCCCCAGATTATGAAAAAGACGTTCATCTCATCAATACCTTCTACGACACAAGACATTCTATAACTATTATCCTTCTGTCCTAAATGTCATGATTTAACACAAGGCATGGGATGTGTATCCTTGTATAGTTAAATCAGCTGTTTCTGAATCTCAAGTAGACTGGCAGGGATCAGATATTTATCAGTCTCTAGATAGCGACATATCTGGGCAAGGCCATGCACATATCAGAGAATGTAATAACTTAGTTATGAATTGTACGTCTACCAGTATTTCAGATAGCATTAGTTATGAATCAAAGCATACGGCCCCACATATCAGAGAATGTAATAACTTCAAGTCTGAGGATAGTTATAGCAAGGTCGATTTGAGAATACTGATAAACACATTACTGTAGATCCATGCAGTATTCTCAAGATGGGTCAATCCAGTCACATATTATCAAATATAATATGCACCTACGTACAGATTAAGTTATCACAATACCTATAGTCTATGAGACGTAACTATCTCATCTCGTACGTACTAGTCTTGATACGTTATGACGTCCGTATTATCATAAAGTGCGACTAGGGATATTCTGGACACAGCCTTCGTCAAGAAGTAACACTCTCATAATCAGAACATTGTAGTCCTCATCTATGTTACTGAAGCGCTATCGTCTATGGACTGAAGCTATGTTATGTTACACGAGATATAAAACATACTTCATGGCCTTTCATTCATGATAAAGTGTACAGTTACATAGGTATTTGATTGCCGCTAGGGCACCTAAATACAACAGTTCAGTCAGTTAATGCATACTAAGGATAATGTTGATTTCCTTTTATGGGACTTCAACGATGTTTTACAAAGAATTGCCGCATAACGAACGATTTTGATTCACATCAAGTAA